TCTACCTAAAACCAGTCGAGATGCCCAATGCCTTATAATGATCAGAAAAAATCTAGCCCTAGCTAGCTACACTTAATTACCCTAACTTGAGCACGCTAACCCTCAATTACCTGGCTTGAATACGCCGTCAAACTCATAAGTTTAAAATACAAGTCCAAGCCTAAAGGCAATCAAAGCATAATTGAAATAGTATTTGGAGGGAAAGAAATACAAGAATCTTCACACAAGTTTGCAAGGGTGTTGATCGATTGATTAGGTAAATCAAAATGGATATCCTGTCCATCATCCTTAATTAGGGGTGTGCAACGGTCGGTTCGGTTCGGTTTTTACTAAAATTTGAACAACCGAACCGAACCGTCTATAATTCAAAACCGAACCGAACTGTTGCAAGTCGGTTCGGTGCGGTTCGGTTCGGTTTGTTCGGTTCTAACTTCATTCAACTTCTTATCAAACAACGAACTGTGTTAAAGAAAAAAAGATATCAACAAAGTAGGAGATTATGAAGCATTAAACATTGATATAATGATATTGTTTTCAACCCATAACGATTCGGAAAATGAGTTTAGGGTTTGAGTCTTTGACTCTTTGGGGACGTGTCAGGTAGGGTTTGATATCAGAATGGGTAGTATTGCACTATATTCGGTCGGTTCGGGTCGGGTCGGTTCGCGTTGAAATTTTTTTCAAACCGACCCGAACCGCCCTACTCATAAAACCGATTTTTTCGGGTCGGTTCGGGTCGGTTCGGTCGGTTTTTTCGGTTTGGACCGAACCATGCTCAGCCCTATCCTTAATAGCAATTTTCTAAATGAGCATAAGGATCTGGTGTTGACGCTATGACCTGTGGTGGAAAAGGATCCTATCTTTGTAGAGGATTTGTTTGATGTGGGGGGCTTTCATCTGAGATGGAAATAAGGAGCACAAACTGTGATTTGCTGCTCAAGTTTCTTACCTGCAATCTGTGCACAAGCCTAGTTGTGCACGTTTTTACAATCTGTGCATGTTTTTGAGGTTATTTCATTGAGAAGCTTTTCTGAGCTATTTTTTTAAGCTCTAGCTACTTTTTGTTATCTCTCATATGTGAGGAGATTCTTGATGTAAATACTTTTTACATATTGGTGATGAATAAAATTTTCATTTATAAAAAAAAGCATAATTGAAAAAAATCTTTCAGTCCTTTTAACAAACCACCATTCAAATCGATGATATTGAAGATTCGTGAAGAAGCAGTGTTAAAGTTGAACACAAATGACACTTCTCCTTGCTAAAACAATCTCTCGATATTGAGTGTGATAAGAAGAAGTTGAATGAGACTCAGAGAATCAAATTCCTACTCAAACTCTCACAAACCCTAGAATTTGATCTTTCAAATTTATGCAAATCTCCTCTCTCTCTCTTTCTTGTTGTTAATCTCTTCTCCAATCACTCTTTAAATAGACATTGATTGCATTGAAAAGAAGTCCTCTAATCAGTATTGAAATAGGAGATCAAACCTGTGATCAAACGGCTGAGATTAAATCTAAAAAATACCAAAATGAGTCCAAACAATTGATGGTTAAACTCGATCATCGATGGTTGATGCCGATCATCGATGATTCCATATAGTCCATCGATTGTGCAAATTCTATTTTTGGAATTTACATATTATTTACTGTAGTCCATCGATGGTTGAAACGATCATCGATATTTGGTCGTAGTTCATCGATGGTTAAATTTCTCATTTATGAAAAATATATATTGTTGACTGTAGTCCATCAATAGCCTATGAACCATTGATGGTTGCCTCGTGATCATCGATGGTTAAAGGCTGGAATCAACTGTTCATGTTGATTTTGGAATTATTCCGAATCGCAACTTGTTCATATTTATTTATTTTTAAAATATATCATCTCACAAATTAATTAGTACCAAATGAAACTTTGTTATTGATCAAACAAGAGATATTGTACAAACAATGTTCTACCCGAACAATGTTCTAACAATATCATCAATGGGTCAAATTCCGAACATACCTAGAATGAGAGACCTCAAAGTTTCGGTGCCATAGATTAATCGACTCTTAACAGAAAGAATGGTCGATTATGAAAAATCTTGAAGATTACTGCATCATATATTGTGAGGACACTCGCTTGGATCGAGTGTTGGACGACGCGGAACGGGCACATAAAGATTCTTTGAACTGAATCACGTGATCTTAATTCTCCTTAAGCTTGAGATTTTTATTACACACGTGACATCATGAGATGTTAATACATTAATCAACGATAACTCCAGTCGGGTACTTGATGCAGTCGTGATAGGGCTATAACCAAATCTAAAATTGCAAAATATCAGAGAGATAGAGAGAGAAAATAGATGAACAGCCGCAGTCAATAAAATAAGATTTTATTCTTTAAAAAGCTACATCTATACATCCAAAAAAGAGTCTTTTATAGACTGAAAAATAAAACGAAAAAGATTAGCTAAAAATAGAAAACTATCAAAGACTAGAAAATATCCTTCTACTAAGAAAGAGGATCCTCTATAGGGGTGTGCAACGGTCGGTTCGGTTCGGTTTTTACTAAAATTTGAACAACCGAACCGAACCGTCTATAATTCAAAACCGAACCGAACTGTTGCAAGTCGGTTCGGTGCGGTTCGGTTCGGTTTGTTCGGTTCTAACTTCATTCAACTTCTTATCAAACAACGAACTGTGTTAAAGAAAAAAAGATATCAACAAAGTAGGAGATTATGAAGCATTAAACATTGATATAATGATATTGTTTTCAACCCATAACGATTCGGAAAATGAGTTTAGGGTTTGAGTCTTTGACTCTTTGGGGACGTGTCAGGTAGGGTTTGATATCAGAATGGGTAGTATTGCACTATATTCGGTCGGTTCGGGTCGGGTCGGTTCGCGTTGAAAATTTTTTCAAACCGACCCGAACCGCCCTACTCATAAAACCGATTTTTTCGGGTCGGTTCGGGTCGGTTCGGTCGGTTTTTTCGGTTTGGACCGAACCATGCTCAGCCCTAATCCTCTATATCAATTTTCAACTAAAACAGAATCTGTTTACTCCTCTAGATTGGAAGGTCAAATACTGCCTAAAATAGAAAGAAAATCTTTCCCCTCGATTTTGAGGCACAAAAGATGGAATTTTGCAAATCAGTTGAGGTCAAACATGTTGCCATTTGCATCCTATGTGATCCAAATGATTTGTGAGAGCTTCGAAATGGCTGATCTTTTGCATGATCATGAGCTGTTTGAAGCTCTCTGCCTACCTAGACCGTTACAAGGTTGAACTGGTCCTTATAGGCTAGAGCCACCTCCTGAGCTGGAAAGAGCTCAACCTAGAGCTCGAACCAGTACTCAACTCATGAATTCCTTCATCCAATTAAAACTTTCTACTGTTTTGCCAAAACTACTAGATTGTGTTTATCAACCCACTCAAAACTAGGGCAAAGATCAATATGTGGGCTCAATTATGTCCTACCTAGACTTGAAATAGGCCAAGAGAGGAACATACTAAACTAGAACTAGTTTAATGGCCAAAATTTCACCAACAAAAACTAAGTCAGTTTTGAACTAGTTTTTGCCCAAAATAAATAAATAAATCTATGTCAAGCCTTAGGGGCTTTCAAACACATCCCTAATATTTCAAACAAATTAGCACTTAAATACCTTATATATAGTTTGCCCTACTTTGCACCTATATACCACCGCTTATTTTCACAAACTACTTTTAAGACTTTTAGATTTAGTTTAATTTTGTTGATTTACAGCTATTCACATACTAATTCTTTTTAAAACATACACCATTTATATTCTAAAATAGAATTATGACATGTTTGATATTATATTAAACAAACAATCAAGGCTAAAAGGTCCTAAATGTAGCTAGCGAGTGACGCATGGGAAGATCTAGATGTTTGAATAAGGCAAGTTATTAAACTGCAAGTTTTACAAACTTTTTAGAGTAAATAATTGCTTTCAAAAAAAAAGAAAAAAAAAGAAAGAAAAAAAGTGAGAGGATATGTACGTTCGGGATTTCAATCCCGAACATATGACATTTCCTTAGGAACTTATGATTTATATGTTGGTGATTGGAACTGCTATGTATCGTATAAATCCGTAAGAGGTTCCTAAGTACTCCTAGCCATCAATAGTCAAATGTTGTTTATTGCATCAAGTAACAAGTTGCACTATCCTTTTTTAACGTTAGCTCTTTGCTTCAAGTCTTAATATGGACAGCTTGTAAGCTATACACCATGATATATAATTTAGATATAAGCTTTCCGTACTTCTTGAAGTGTGGAAGCGTCTAACATGTCTATGGGGGACGTTCCAAGGGGATGAAAGTCTCATATATTACATTTTGTTAACTAAAGTAATCTAAATGTTAAGTCCAAATTAACATTTGAAGTATAAGCGAAGACCATATCCAAAACAATTGAGTAATCGTACGAGTAGTGGCTCGTCTATTGAAGCTCTCGGAGTGAAATCTAAAACTCATTAAAACTTAGCCATGTGAGTCTTATGAGTGAGTGCTTTCAAAGTTTATATTCGTCCTTTTTTGATAAGTGAAGTCTAATGTTTCTTGGGTAATTTAGCTTACGCCCACATCTGACATAAATTTCAACAAAAATCCCTCATCCTTTTGTCCTCAAGGCCCTATATACATCGTATATATATGTGTACAACAGAAGTACATTTAATTTGGAGATCTTATACTCGTGTCTAAGATCGTAGACGCTTTCATAATTTTAAGTAGTATGTTGCGGTTCAAATAACTTTACTAGAATGGAGTTGTGCAACTACATTAATATCCACACGCAGATAGTACTATTCGATCAAAATTTAATTGGTCATTTTTTATTATTATAAAAAACCTATATTGATATATATGATAGATATATAATTAAATATAAAGTAAATGATGACTATGCGATGTGATAATTAACAAATTAACTTGTTTAACATAAAAGTTTACATCATGATATTCTAGATATGTGATATGTGATCCTTAGAGCTTCTCCAAGCGTCCGCCAATTCTCCATTTTGAAGCCGCATCAAGGTCCAACGGAACTGCATTTTTTGCAGTCAACTGCATTTTCGGATCCTGAGGCTGCAAATTTGGAGATTTCTCTCCAAATTTATATAAAATTGCAAGACAAGTAATTAGAAATGATAATACATTGGAGCTTAAACTGAAATAAAACACATTAACTTAGAAATACATCGAAACTTTAATAAAAAAAAGTTACATCACTTCATTGCCGTGTCTCTCCCACAAATGTTCAATTAATGCATTTCGAAGTGCGAAGTGTGCTTCTTTGTCTTTGAATTTCTTATGTCGGGTCAGGAATTGTCGGAACCGTTCAGCATCGTTCATCCCTATGTCTTCAACATTTGAAATTGATGGTGGAGTAGAAACGATAATATCTTCTTGCTCATCACGTTCATCCTCAATAATCATATTGTGCATTATTATGCAAGTGGTCATGATATCATGCAAAGTTCGTTTATCCCAAAACCGTGCAGGTCCCTTGATTATAGCAAATCTTGACTGGAGAACACCAAACGCTCGCTCCACATCTTTTCGACAAGCTTCTTGCATCATTGCAAAATATTGTTTCTTTTTATCTTCGGATTTGGAAATTGTTTGAACAAGGGTTGGCCATTTTGGGTATATGCCATCGGCTAAATAATAACCGACATCATAATTCTTTCCTTGAATTGTATAATGAGCAGGAGGAGTAATACCTTGCGTTAGGTTGTCAAACAAATTAGATGCTTGTAATACATTAATATCGTTATTAGAACCTGGCAAGCCAAAGAATGCATGCCATATCCATAGGTCATACGATGCTACTGCCTCAAGAATAATGGTTGGGCCTCCGTGACGTCCTGAGTATTGTCCCGCCCATGCTGTTGGACAGTTTTTCCATTCCCAATGCATACAGTCAAGACTTCCCAACATTCCTGGGAAACCTCGCTCTTCGCCTTTTTGTAACAGTCTTGCAACAGTTTTTCCATTCTCCCACCCGCATCGGTTTCTACCCGCATTGGATTCTCCTACCCACATCGGTTTCTACCCACATTGGTTCTCCCACCCACATCGGTTTCTACCCACATTGGTTCTCCCACCCGCATCGGTTTCTACCCACATTGGTTCTCCCACCCGCATCGGTTTCTACCCACATTGGATTCTCCTATCCACATCGGTTTCTACGCACATTGGTTCTCCCACCCGCATCGGTTTCTACCCACATTGGTTCTCCCACCCGCATCGGTTTCTACCCACATTGGATTCTCCTACCCACATCGGTTTTCTACCCACATTCCTTTCTCCCACTAGCATTGAACTCTCCATAATTTTTTCACTATAAATACTAGCACAACCCTCATCTACCCACATTGGATTCTCCTACCCACATCGGTTTTCTACCCACATTCCTTTCTCCCACTAGCATTGAATTCTCCATATTTTTTTCACTATAAATACTAGCACAACCCTCATTCATTCATCACAACTCTTCTCATTCCTCCTCCATAGTTCTTCCCAACAACTCTTCGTCCTTCTCTTATGGCATCCAGTCGCGAAAAATCATTCTTACAAGAAGAAGATCAAATTTTATGCGCTACATGGCTTGAAATATCTCAGGATCCAGTTTTAGGTTCCAATCAAAAGAAAGACAAGCTATGGGAGTGAATTTCAGCTCTATTTCACGAAAGGATTTCCAACGTTTACACCGGACATAGGAGCCCGAAGTCTCTCTCATGCCGAATGCAATTAATTATGAAAGCCATCAGTAAATTTCGAGGATGCATTCGACAAGTCGAGCGCCTCAATCCAAGCGGTGCTTCTGAACTTGATATTGTAAGTATATGAATTACATGTTTCTTGGTTATTAAATTATTTCCCACCTTTTCTAATAATTATTTCTTCTTTTGTGGTAGAATAAACGTGCTAGGATCATATTTGCAGAAGATCCAGAAGAGAAAAGAGGATTTCTATTTGATCACTGCTGGCCGATTTTGAAGGATGCAGAGAAGTGGGCAAATATAAGCGTCATGCCTTCTGCATCTTCCAAAATTTCAAAGTCTCGCTTGTCTCAAGGATCTGGTTCAAGCTCTCCTGTCATTGACTTAAATGAAGACAATCAGGCATATACCACTAATGACGACAACCATTCGCCTATGAGCATTTCAACTAGTCGACCAACTGGAAGGAAGAAAGAGAAGTTGAGAAGACGGAAAGAAATTGAAAGGAACATTGACTTTGAGGATTTTGCTAAAGGAAATCAAGAAATCTTAGAAGTTTTAAAAAAAGGTAAAGAACAACGAGAAAATGAAAGATTGACAATGAACCAGGCTATGATGTTAAAGGCTGAAAATGATAAGAAAAAGTTAGAACTTCAGCAAGAACGACAAGAGAAAGAAATTATGCTAGTTGATCTGGAAGCTATTACCGATCCAACAAAACGCGAATATTTTCGAAATAAACAACAACAGATTTTAAATAGAAATATAACTAGGGGTTCCTCATCTGATATTCCTAATCCTGAATACAGCTACGCAGGAAGTCAATACGGAATACCTGACTACAGAGGAGGTGGATACGGAGGAGTTGACTTTCCAGACTTTTAGTATTTTCATGTATTATGTTTTTCCTATTTGTCATGTAATTTTTAATTCATGCTTTTGTTTTCTATGTAATAGTCGTGGATTTAGTAATATGAATGTCTGTTTAATTTAATCAGATTGCCTATTTTATATTAATACATTTAATAATATTATTAATAATATTATTTATATTATATAACTTTTATTTTTTTATTTTTTAAATATTCAAAATGAGAGTAATATTAAATAATATTAATTGAAATATAAAATTCCAAGAACCAAGTAATTAAAAATAAAAATATATTATAATTTAAAGACAATTATTTATTTCTTATTATCAATTCATTAAAGAAAATTAATTTTATTTAAATATATGATTACATTATATATTTTTAAAATAAGTAAAAGAATTAAAAAATTGAGAGAAATTGAAATGGAGTTGGAAATAGAGGAGTGTGGTTGGAGTTACATAACTCTATTTTAGCATATTCTAAGGAATATGCCAAAGTTTGGGCTCCAAAATAGAGCCTCACATTGGAGAAGCTCTTAGAAAAGTCACCTTGAAACGATTTGATATCAAAATAGTTTATGTCGAGTAGACATATTTATTAAGGCTAAATTACCAGATTGGTATTTTAACTTAACTTTATTTTTCAATATGGTGTTTATTCTTGCTCTGTAATCAGTTAGGTATTTGAACTTGTGCCCCAATGATAATAAGGCCCTTTTTCAGCGGACTTTATTTTTCTGGGAAAATTTTTTCCATCCTCCTAATCTATCAAAATTATTAAATTTACACTCTTCGATCTTCTCCTTCAACATCCCCCGGTTCAAATTTCTTCCACCTTTTTGTTGTGCGCAGCGAAAATTTCGGCAGAGTTTCTGGTGCACAATAAGAGAGAAAGATCAATAAGAATTCTCGTCTCACTAAGGAAACAAGAATCTGAAGCGAATATCTCAACAAAGTGAGATATCGGCTCTTCCTCTCATCAGTTACAGGACTGACTTGTCGAGGGATCCTAAAAAACTATTACAATGGTCATAAACACAAACAAACCAATTTTACGTGGTTCGGTAAACTGTCTACGTCCACGGGGCAAGGAGGGGGGAGATCTACTATTAGAGAGGAGATAATACAACTAGGGTTTATAATCACTCAATCTAAACCCTCAAACTAACTCTCTAATCTCTCACAAAAAAAAGAACAGACGCCAAATAGGATTTTTCTCCTCTGCACGAAGTCTAAGAAAAAAAATCCACAACAGCCTTTTGCACGCCGTCAAGTCAATGCCTTTGCACAGAACTTCACGCAGCCACTTTTCTTTCTCCGCTCCCCTCACTTCACGCTGCCCTAGGAGAGAATCATCAACTATATATATAGCATATGATATCGGGTAATCGGGTAATCGGCTTTTGTTCGCTGGACTAATCACTTCAAACTATATATATAGCATATGATATCGGGTAATCGGGTAATCGGCTTTTGTTCGCTGGACTAATCACTTCACGTGGTTTTGCATTCACATGCTTCTCTTAAATCGGGTAATCGGCTTTTGTTCGCTGGACTAATCACTTCACGTGGTTTTGCATTCACATGCTTCTCTTATGCTTGTGGTCCCCACACACAAGCCAGCAAAGAGAGCCCTTCCCTTCACGTGTTTACCTCCAAAATCCGTTGGCTCATGCTAGCCTCCCATACGTCTTGGGCTTTGTCCAGGGAACAAAAGAAATCACCCTCACACATTTTATCTTCTCACAATTCTCCACCTCGGTGAAGTTTTTCCAAAACTGAGCCGACACCAACCAAAACAAATGTCCCACTTGTTGCGTCCAGGACAAAGTGAAACAATTTACGATAACGGACTCAATCCACAACAAGTCGAGACCCAAATGAGAATGCAAACACTCTCTAATTATCGGTATCAACTCACCAAATCGGTCTCACCCCCATCAACTAATCCAACACGGCTGCATCGTAAAGACTGCCTACATATCCTGTTGCCCAATGAATCAAGCCGAACATAGTTCATCCAAATGACCGCAAACGACCTCAATCCAATAGAAGAGTTCGCAACCCTTCTCTAATATCATCAACTCTGCGGCTGATAGCACCTCTAATGGCCTCAAACACCTCCACCTGAGGTGAACCAATGGTCATATCAAAATTACATCTATCAGCTACATTCAAATAAAAACCCAACTCATCATCTGCATACAAAACCAAATGATCTCCAAACTATGTCACCTCAGCTGGAATCCCAAAAAATACTGTATGATCTGGAGTAATCTTCATCCAATATAGAGTAGCATCACTCTCCACCCACTACGATACATCTAAGGTCTGTCCAAAACTCTTCATCTGCTGAGAGTCAATTAGCTCCCTCATCGAAGCCTCAACCAAAGTGACACTACCAGACTTATCTTCAAATGGAGTTTTACCTCCAATCACAGCAGTTGACAACTTTTTAATAGGATGACCCAAATATGTCGAAGAATCAGTCTAGAAACTCTTCTGCAGACCATTGATTGATAACAAATACCGATCCTCCTCCAGCAAGGCACGGTTCTCCAAATTTGTCACCTTATCTAGTTGCCCCAAGATTTCCTTTCTAACGAAGTGTCTCAAAATGCCGTGAGCTCGGCTCCAATACAGAAATAGGTCCATCTTGTACCTCCTACCAAAACTAGAATGGAGTACCTTTACCTTTCTGTCTATCACACACTCCTTCAATCTATTGGATACTACTAGGACTTTCTCCAAAGGGGATTTGGTTGCAACCCAAACACGTCTAGAACAGCCACCAACAAAGGAAACCAAACATTTATTTCCTCCCAATGATGCCTCTTTGGAAGGCCCCCAAACATCCACGTGAACACCTCTAGAACGACCCTTAGCATGGTGAATAGAGAACATCTATTTCCTCCTAATGATGCCTCCTTAGAAGGCCCCCAAACATCCACGTGAACACCTCCAGAATGACCCTTAGCACGGTGAATAGAGGTGCCAAACTTCACCTCGGTCTTCTTGCTCACATCAACATGTTCACTGGACTTCAAACTGCACGTCTTCGCACCCTCTTTCAATCTATACGAGGAATCAATACTGGAATGCCCAAGCCCCAAATGTCACAGTCTAGTCGAATCAATAGAAGTCGTCACTTCTCCACCTGTCACTATACCTCTAGTTAAGTAATACAGGTTATTCCTCCTGATGCACTTCATCACAATCTGAGAGTCTTCCATAATCTTGAGAACCATGTCATCAATTCGAACATTCAGACCCTCTCCAACCAAAGCTCCAATCGAGATCAAGTTTTTCCTTAAGGAAGGAACATATCTCACATCGTATAACTCCCTATCAGTCCCATCAAATATCTTGATGCTAATTCTTTCTATCTCAAGGATCTGGCATGCACGGTTATTAGCCATGTACACCACACCACTATCCAGCTTCTCAAAACTGGAGAACCATTCCCTTCTAGGACACACATGATAGGTCGCACTACTATCCAACATCCACTCGGATTCCTCTGAATAGCAACCTGTAGGACTGATAGAAAGCGAATAAATAGAAGTATCAGAAATATTACCATCGGATATAACGATGTTTGCTTCTGATGATGGTTGCTTTCCTTTTCCCTTCTGCTTATTCTTCATCCATTCATCGAGCTTTGAACAATCTTTCTTCTAATGACCAGTTTTCTTGCACCAAGCACACTGATCTTTTCCAATTTTAGGATGCCCTACTCTAGACTTCCAATTCTTCTGGTTCGGATTCTTCCCTCTTGCGGCCAACACCTCTGCTACCAGCTCAACTGAAGCCTTCTTATCCTTCTTACGAAGCTGATAGTTCACAAGTACAGCAGTCACCTCACTATACGAAAGAGATGCCTTCCCATTAATCAGAGTAAGAACGAATGTCTCATATTCTTCGTCGGGTAAGGAACTCAACAATAGCAACGCCTTGTCCTCATCTTCAATCTTGACATCCACATTCGCCAAATCTGCAAGAAGCTTTGTGTAGGTGTTCATGTGATCACTAATTGAGATTCCCTTCTTCAACTGAAAACGATAAAGTCTCCTCTTTAAATGCAAGCGATTCTCAACACTCTTTGTCAGATACTTGCTTTCGAGAATCTCCCAAATCTTTTTCGTAGAAGTCTCATTCATCACATCATATTTTAGATCTTGAGTCAAACAAGACCTAATCACACCACACGCCGTTTGATTCATCTTCTTTCAAACCTTCTCTTCAATCTCATCTGGCTTGCCATCTAACTCTAAGGTATCCTCCAAATTCTACGTGTTCAGCGTATCCAAAACCTTGCATCTCCATAATCCAAAGTTATTTGTGCCATTAAACTTTTCGACATCTATCTTCATAGAGTGGATATTCAAACTCTGAATGGTCTTCGCGTCAGAAGCACCACCCTCAATATCCGAAGCACCTTCTTTCCCCGACATCTTTCTCAACGCACCAACGAACAAAGAATAGATCCAAATTAAACTAAAAAGATAGAGTCTTTACCAAAAGATCCCACCTTTATCACAAAACAAAGCCCTAGACGAGCTTCCAAAGTGATTTACTCCTCCAAATAGCCCAAGCGTAGCCCGAGCTCTGATATCACTTGTTGTGCGCAGCGAAAATTTCGGCAGAGTTTCTGGTGCATAATAAAAGAGAAAGATTAATAAGAATTCTCATCTCACTAAGGAAACAAGAATCTGAAGCGAATATCTCAACAAAGTGAGATATCGGCTCTTCCTCTTATCAGTTACAGGACTAACTTGTCGAGGGATCCTAAAAAACTATTACAATGGCCACAAACACAAACAAACCAATTTTACGTGGTTCGGCAAACTGTCTACGTCCACGGGGCAAGGAGGGGGGAGATCTACTATTAGAGAGGAGATAATACAACTAGGGTTTATAATCACTCAATCTAAACCCTCAAACTAACTCTCTAATCTCTCACAAAAAAAAGAACAGACGCCAAATAGGATTTTTCTCCTCTGCACGAAGTCCAAGAAAAAAATCCACAACAGCCTTTTGCACGCCGTCAAGTCAATGCCTCTGCACAGAACTTCACGCAGCCACTTTTCTTTCTCCGTTCCCCTCACTTCACGCTGCCCTAGGAGAGAATCATCGACTATATATATAGCATATGATATCGGGTAATCGGGTAATCGGCTTTTGTTCGCTGGACTAATCACTTCACGTGGTTTTGCATTCACATGCTTCTCTTACGCTCGTGGTCCCCACACACAAGCCAGCAAAGAGAGCCCTTCCCTTCACGTGTTTACCTCCAAAATCTGCTGGCTCATGCTAGCCTCCCATGCGTCTTGGGCTTTGTCCAGGGAACAAAAGAAATCACCCTTACACGTTTTATCTTCTCACACTTTTTACCAATAAAATCCTCATTCACTTCTTCTTTCTCTCTCATCAATGGAGCTCCCTCTTTCTCCTTCAAACTCTCCCAACTTAAAACCTAAACCCTAATCCAAATTAGCGTCGACTTGGGTAAAGATTGTTACGTTAGATTCAGGGCTTAAGTTTGAGTTGGGTGATTAAAGGAGATAGAGGGACTGAAAGGAGGATCTTATTGGGTAAGGGGTGGAAAAATTTTGAATTGGTGGAGGTTGAATGAGGAGTGAGTATATTTAATAATTTTGATAAGTCAGAGGGATGAAGAAATATTCCCCCTAAAAATTTGGTTGAAATTCTCGCCACCGACAAGAAAAAAAGGCCATATTATCATTGGGACACAAGTTAAAATGCCATATTCTTGCAGGAGCATAAATAAATATCATATTGAAAAATAGGATCAATTTAGTAATTTAGCATATTTATTAATATGGATATTTCACGTTAAAGTTTAATTCTTATTTTTTTGAAGTTGATATTATTTGAGTGGTGGATACATACATAGATTAATTAACACACTTCGTCGGGGTCCCAAGGAAAACTTTTTGTATTCTAAGGCCTAGATGAGAGTATACTAATTACTCAAAGAGTTAAAGTAGTACATCAAAGACTAACTAATTATAAACATCCGCAAGTTTCTATTCCCTCACAAGTACCAATAACCAATAGAAAATTAATCTTGGATCCAGAGCCTACAAAATCCTCACATTCCTTATTCCTTCAATCACTGACATACTCAACACTCAACATACTGATACTCTCCAATATAAAGACAACAACCATCACGTATAGGAAACCCTAAAACTCCTCTACCTTCGAGCACTCAAAATGACCAACCTCTCCTTCTTCCTCCTCTTCTTCATCCTCCTGATCTCCCATACAAACGCAGGCTTCAACGTCGTAGACTACGGAGCCACACCCGATGGCGAGACCGACTCCTCTGGGCCATTTCTCCGCACATGGGCCGCTGCATGCGCTGCGTTCGGCCAATCAAACATTGTGGTGCCCAAAGGACGGTTCTATGTGAGCATGGGAGCCTTTCATGGGCCGTGCAATAGTAGTTCCGTGAATGTGCACGTGTTTGGCTCCATTGTTGGGCATGCTGTTCCGCAGAAGACGCAGACTTGGTTGGTTTTTAGGTATGTTGATGGGTTGAGTATTCAGAGAGGGGCCATCGACGGCCACGGCGGCGAGATTTGGGGGTGCAAGTTAGAAAGGAATAAGGATGAGTGTCCGACTGGTTTAACGGTAAGAAAATGAGTTTTAATCTGATTGTCAGACCTGAACCGAGTATTTAGATAAGAGTAAACGGAGGTTGGTGTGTCCCGTTGTCTTGATTAGCATGCTTGGCCCGCATTTGGACTACTTGTCGATTTTTCTGGACCATGTACATATTATAGTTGATGGCTTGATACCTTAAATATGTGTCACGTTAGCAACACACCAGTCACACATGCTAGTCCCTATTTATTATTTATATAACATAAATGACGATTAAAAATATTGAAGGCATGTTATGCATGTGTATAACATATCAATAACTTACACCATGTCTATTAATAATGATAATCCAGTGAAAATATTTTGTAGTAGTTTTACAATAAAAATAGTTACTATATTTTTATGCAAAACTCATAAGATTATTTGACGGATTTGTGAAATTTACCCTTTATTGAATAGAGTAATGTGTTTTTACATAGGAGTATTGATAACTATATACAAGAATTATACTACTTTTATACTATTTACACACAAAAAAGTAGGAGATATTCTCATAATTGCAAAGAGAAATAACGAGTTTCTATAGACGACCTTACTCCTTTGTATCTAGTAGTATAAACATAGTACAACTCTTGTAATACACTTAGTGTTTTCCTTTACATAGTTGCTAAAGTGGTTTTTATAATATATAGCCATAACTTTTAATCGTGAGGAAATACCTCAAAAACCATATAGCCATGATTAATTCAAAGAGATTAACAAAATCAAAAGAGCGAAAGCTTATACCTGAATCCATGGATGAACCTTGAGATGGGTTTTGTATCTTCTAACCTTAGGGTTTCTCTTGTGTATAACCTTATGAGCTCAAAAATTGCTATCACTGAAAAGGTATTTCCGAACAATCTCGTCCATTGACTATATCAATATAGGATCAAAGCGGCCTTCGTCACATTTATCGTGACTCGACCCATCAATGGTCACATATACCAATACAATCAAACGACATAGATCAATCATGGATGTGCAGCATGAAAATTACATGCAATGTGATCAGTACATGTCTATTTTCAACTGGTCCTCCTTAGTGAGGTCAAAACCAAACATAATGTAACAGAGTGTCTTAACTGAAAACTTTATTCTGATCAGACAATACAAACAAACATAAAGCACCACAAATACAAACTCCCACTAAAACATAATATCCTCAAATAATACCACACCCATATGAGCAGTATGCTCATGAAAGACCTTAGGTGGCAGTCCCTTAGTAAGAGGATCAGCTATCATGGAGTTTGTCCCAATGTGCTCTATGGATATCTGTCCACTCTGTACCCTTTCTTTCACAACCAGGAACTTAATGTCAATATGTTTTGACTTAGTTGAGCTCCTGTTGTTATTGGAATACATTACTGTAGATTTATTATCACAATATAACCTTAGTGGTCTTTCAACATTTTCTAAAATGCGCAGTCCCGTGACAAAATTTCACAGCCATATTCCCTGATTGGATGCCTCATAGCAAGCTACAAATTCTGCTGCCATAGTGGAGGAAGCTACTAGTGTTTGTTTGACACTTTTCCATGATATAGCTCCTCCTGCTAACATATAAATGTAGCCTGATGTAGACTTTCTGCTATCTTTAGCCTGATGTAGACTTCCTGCTATCTTGGCATCCAGCAAAATCAGAGTCCGAATACCCAATGACCTCTAATTTCTCTGATTTTCTGTATGTGAGCATGTAATCTTTTGTTTTCTGAAGATACCTCATAACCCTTTTGACTGCTATCCAATGATCCATACCAGGGTTGCTTAAGTATCTGCCTAACATCCCAACAATGTACGCAATATCCGGACGCGTACATACCTGAGCATACATTAGACTTCCTACAGCCGAAGCATAAGGAATCTTCTGCATTTCCTGAATTTCAAGGTTACCTTTAGGGCACTGATTGAGACTAAACTTGTCTCCTTTAGCAACAGGGGTGTCACCTGGTCTGCAATCTTGCATGCCAAACCTTTTAAGTACCTTATCGATATAGCTCTTTTGTGATAATCTAAGAATACCCCGAGAGCGATCTCGATGTATCTGGATCCCTAATATAAAAGAGGCGTCCCCAAGATCTTTCATCTCAAAATTCTTTGATAGAAATCTCTTGGTTTCGTGCAACATGCCTATATCATTAGTGGCAAGCAAGATGTCATCGACATACAGAACCAGAAAAATATACTTACTCCCACTGAACTTGTGATATACACAGTCATCAACAATGTTCATCTCAAAACCGAACGAGATAACTATTTGTTGAAACTTATGATACCATTGACGAGGAGCTTGCTTGAGTCCATAGATGGATTTCCTTAATTTGCAGACCATATTCTTTGGGTCTCCCGACACAAAGTTTTCTGGTTGCACCATATAGATCATCTCATCAATGTCTCCATTGAGAAATGCAGTCTTAACATCCATCTGATGTAACTCAAGATCATAATGAGCAACAAGTGCCATGATTATTCTGAAAGAGTCTTTCGATGAAACCGGAGAGAAAGTCTCTGTATAATCAATGCCTTCCTTTTGAGTATAGCCTTTAGCCACAAGACGTGCCTTATACCTCTCCACATTACCGTTTGCATCCCGCTTGGTTTTAAAAATCCATTTACAACCAATTGGTTTTGCACCTTCTGGTAATGGGACAAGTTCCCAAACCTTATTGTCTTGCATAGACTTGTACTCTTCATTCATGGCATCAATCCACTGTTGAGAGTTAGAACTTTTCATGGCCTGAGAGAAGTTGATTGGATCATCTTCTAACATTCCACTACTTTCCTCATGTTCTTGGAGAAATACAATATAATCATCCGGAATAGCATTTCTCCTTTCTCTCGTGGATCTCCTTAATGGCACTGGTTCTTGAGGTTGTTGAGTTTGTTCTTCTGGAACAGGGAGTTGTTCAACATTATCATCTTGAGGTTCCGGATTTACTTCTTGAGCAACAACAGGTATAGGAACCTGAATATTGTCAAAAGTAACTGTATGGATTGGATCTGAAGCCAATTCCTCCTCAAAACTAATGTCTCTAACCTTATTTCTCCCCCCAAACTCAACATCCTCAAAGAATGTTGCTGTTCCCGTCTCAAAAATGTTCCTTATAGTGGGATCATAAAACTTAAAGCCCCTAGAGCGTTCAGAGTATCCAATAAAGTAGCTGCTAACTGTTTTGGAGTCCAATTTCTTTTCATTTGGCCTATAAGGCCTTGCCTCAGCTGGACATCCCCAAATATGTAAATGCTTTAAACTGGGCTTTCGACCAGTCCAAAGCTCATAAGGTGTTTTAGCAACTGCTTTACTTGGTACTCTATTCAGAATGTAAGCTGCTGTCTTAAGTGCTTCTCCCCAGAGTGACTCTGGTAAAGAAGAATGAGCAATCATACTTCTTACCATATCCTTAAGAGTCCTGTTTCGTCTTTCAGCTACACCATTCATGCTAGGTGAACCCGGCATGGTGTACTGTGGGACGATACCGTATTCCTCTAGGTATCTAGCAAATGGTCCTGGACGTTGTTCACCTGAACCATCATATCTACCGTAGTACTCACCACCACGATCAGATCTGACGGTTTTAATTCTTCTGTTGAGTTGATTCTCAACTTCAGCTTTATAGGCTTTGAACATGTCCAGAGACTCAGATTTTTCATGAATAAGATATAGGTGCCCATAACGTGAGTAATCGTCTATGAATGATATAAAATATTGTTGACCATTCCAGGATTCCGTAGGGAATGGCCCACAAATATCCGTATGTATCAATTCTAAGACATCCGAAGATCTGTTGGCACCTAATCTTTTCACTTTGGTCTGTTTTCCCTTGATACATTCAACACATACGTCGAAGTCCGAAAAATCAAGGGAATCCAAAATGCCATCAGACACAAGACGCTCAATTCTACCTTTTGAGATATGACCTAAGCGCTTATGCCATAATGTCGCCGAATTTTCCTTATTTAATTTACGCTTAGTACCACGTGATTCCACATGCAAGGATTCATTGTAAGAAGCAATTGTATCAAGCAAATATAGGTTGTCATAAATACTCAAGTAACCGGTTCCCACAACATTTGAATTAAAAGATAAACTGAATTGACTGTTTCCAAATGAACAAGAATAACCTGATTTGTCCAATACAGAAACAGAAACCAAATTCCGTCTAAAAGACGGTACTACAAAAGTATCTTTTAAATCCAAATAATAACCAGTTCCTAACAACAACCTAAAGTGCCCAATTGCTTCCACATCTACCGATTGTCCGTCGCCCACAAAGATGTGTCTTTCAACATCACTTGGCTTTCGGTAGCTCAGGCAACCCTGCATAGAAACACTTATGTGAGTAGTAGCACCAGAGTCTAACCACCAAGTGTTTCTAGGTACTGAAGCTAAATTAACCTCAGAACAGACCAAAGCAAGGAACGTACCCTTATTATCACGCCAGGCGTGATATTTTGTACAGTCCTTCTTTACATGTCCAGGCTTCTTACAGAAGAAACAACCCTGATTATCCTTATGTTGTTTCTTCTCAACTGGACCCTTAGCAGCTTCCTTATCATTCTTCCTTTTCTTGCCCTTATCCTTAGAGGCATAGGCCAAATGAGCACTTTCTGTCTTATCTTGCTTCAACCTGTCTTCTTCTTGCACACAGTATGAAATGAGCTCATTTAGAGTCCATTTCTCCTTTTGACAGTTATAACTGACCTTAAATTGGTTAAACTGTGCAGGAAGAGACAACAAAACCAGATGCACTAATAACTCGTCACAAAGATCGAGTTTAAGTGTCTTAAGCTTTGAAGCAATATGAGACATTTCCATAATGTACTCCCTGATATTTCCTTTACCCTTATACTTCATTGAAATCAAGCGAGCTAAAAGCGTGCTTGTTTCTACCTTATCGTTTTTCGCAAAACGCTTCTCAATTTCGGCAAGGAAATCTTTAGCCTTAGTAATCCCTTCGGATTCTATGCCCCTGAAGGCTTCCGGAACGCCGCGCTTAATGATCATAAGACTCATGCGATTTGAACGCTCCCACTTCTCATGCTCCTTCTTTGCATCAGGAGTGCTATCCGCATTGAGATGTTAGGGTTGTTCAGTTCTTAATGCATAGTCAAGATCCATGCAGCCAAGAACAATTAATATGTTCTCTTTCCAAACCTTGAAGTTTGTCCCATTTAGCATGGGAATTGAGTTGATGTTAGCAGAAATTGTTGCAGCAGATGCATTAGCTGAAATAAAACAAAAGAATGCTCACATCAATAACCATAATCAATAAAATTCAAATAATGACAATCCCCATCCAAGATACCGGCACAACATTAATATCAAGTCTTTGGACAGTAATATTAACTTGTAAGTGATACCTTGTTGCAATGATCAAACATTGACAATAACTCATGTCAAATAATGAAACTATCTTTGGATCGATTCATTATTCACATGTAAACCTTATAATTGTCACACGCTTATACTCGCAGATGTGTATACAGTCTAAATAAATATTAACATTTCTTTGGGCCGATTAAATATTTACACGAAAGCATACACACAAACATCTCACGTTCCTCATGAACAATCTACACAAGAGAGGTTACTTTGGCAACTTCTTGTTTCAATTAATCAATTGGAGTGAGAGACAACCTTAATACCTTAGTGTCATAATATTTGAATTAAATAATTGATTAAAAACCGAATTAGATTTAAATTAAAAAATTTTAATTTAAATCAACGCTCACCTGAGTTGAACGCGAGGTTCACCTTAGAACGAACGCGAGGTTCGTTAAAATTGAGCTTGACGCTCACCTGAGTTGAACGCGAGGTTCACCTTAGAACGAACGCGAGGTTCGTTAAAATTGAGCTTGACGCTCACCTGAGTTGAACGCGAGGTTCACCTTAGAACGAACGCGAGGTTCGTTAAAATTGAGCTTGACGCTCACCTGAGTTGAACGCGAGGTTCACCTTAGAACGAACGCGAGGTTCGTTAAAATTGAGCTTGACGCTCACCTGAGTTGAACGCGAGGTTCACCTTAGAACGAACGCGAGGTTCGTTAAAATTGAGCTTGACGCTCACCTGAGTTGAACGCGAGGTTCACCTTAGAACGAACGCGAGGTTCGTTAAAATTGAGCTTGACGCTCACCTGAGTTGAACGCGAGGTTCACCTTAGAACGAACGCGAGGTTCGTTAAAATTGAGCTTGACGCTCACCTGAGTTGAACGCGAGGTTCACCTTAGAACGAACGCGAGGTTCGTTAAAATTGAGCTTGACGCTCACCTGAGTTGAACGCGAGGTTCACCTTAGAACGAACGCGAGGTTCGTTAAAATTGAGCTTGACGCTCACCTGAGTTGAACGCGAGGTTCACCTTAGAACGAACGCGAGGTTCGTTGAGCGCGAAGCTCGGTTAAAATTGAACGAACGCGAGGTTCGTTTGAAGCTTAGCGCTTCGCCAAAATTTGAGGTAACTACCTCCTTAATGTTCGCCACGTTTCACGCACGCACGAACCCTTAGGGTTTCAAATTGAAACCGCCGCCGACAAACCCAAAAATCTTTGATTTTTTTATTTTCAAACCAGATCCAGAATTGGAAAAAATTGATGAAAAAAATCAAAGAAAAATCCAAAAAATTCCAAAAAATTACTGTTCACCTGTGTTTTTCCAGTTATTGTTCATCCGAAAAAAACTTTACTGTTCATCCAAAAAAAAAAATCGTTGCTGTTCATCCGAACATTACTGTTCATCTGAGAACAAAACTGAATCTTTAACCAGAGATTTAAGATAAAAAACCCAATAAAACTTAAATCCCTAAGAATTAATCAAGGTGGCTCTGATACCACTTGTTAGATCTATATCATAAAAGTTGAGATCTAAAACCATATAGCCATGATTAATTCAAAGAGATTAACAAAATCAAAAGAGCGGAAGCTTATACCTGAATCCATGGATGAACCTTGAGATGGGTTTTGTATCTTCTAACCTTAGGGTTTCTCTAAATCCGAATTTCTCTAGCTAGATGGGGGTGTAGAGAATTAGAGAATGTGACCCTAGGTTAGGGACCATAACCCATTATTTATAGATGTTGTACTTTTGTAATTTAGCCCCTCAATAAATCACAATTACAACCTGGTATCTGCACATATAACCCCATGATTATATTTAAATACCCATTAACCCAACTTAATTGATCACTTTAGTGGGTTATCCTGAAAGATAGCAATACACATTGATTAATCATATGTGCCCACAAATAGATTTATTAGATTAAATCCAACATGCTACACATAGCTAAATTCAGAATTATCAAAAGTTAACTCAATAGGTAATACAATATATTATTTGAGGTAAGAGGAACATGGGACGTCTTAAAAGACTAGATAATTAATCTATTCCTCTATAATAATGGGAGGGTCCAAGATTCACAACTCACGCTACAGTAAATACTACATTAATACTGTAGCATTGTTTCTGTAGCACAAACAGGAGGATCCAATGTTGCCTATTCATGCTACGTAAATACTGTAGCATTATTACTGTAGCACTAGCGGGAAATGTAGTGATTAAAAATATTACTGTAGCTCAGGCGGGATACTGTGGTATTTAAAAATATCACTGTAGCACTTACAAAATCTGTTTTTAAATATTGAATTACTGTAGCAAAAATAAAAAATGGTGACCGTGCAAAGCACGGGGTGCACACTAGTCATAGTACTATAGAAAATATAAGTTTTGCGCAACAAAGCTGCAAAGATCTTGGAAACTTCAAGATATAGAAAAGTGTAACAAACTTAATTTTGTTTTTCCCCTGCACATTTAAGAAAATAAGTAACTTAGTTTGAGGATACGTTTTCCTAAACAACATGACAATTTATCATACTTAAATAGATCATTTGGGTTTAAAACAAATAAAAAGGCTCTGAGGGTTATTCATAAAATTTAAGATAAATGGGCACAAACACAAATAACTAGGAATAATAAAACAATTGTAATGCATCTTCGCTTTGTCAGATTTTAGTCCATGGTTGCTTTATATTTTTCCCCCAGGCTAATAAATCATAAACTAAATTAAAAATATTTCAGGAAACCAAAACAGAAAATTATGAACCACGGTAAGAATTGGACTCCTCTGTTAGTTCCCCAACTACAGAAAAGATCAAGAAATTCAGAACTTTCTCTATTATTATCGATATCTAAGATTTCGATCTTTTTTCTGCCTCCATCATTTTTGCAGACATTATCTATAAATCACTGTAAGAATGTCCTGGTCAATGGACTGACTTTCATCAACAGCCAATTGTTCCACATTGCGATATTTGCCAGTGAATTTGTCACAATTCAGAATGTTAAGATATTTGCTCCAGAAGACAGTCCCAATACCGACGGAATCCATGTTGGAATGTCCAACGGAATCACAATTACCAACAGTTACATCAAAACAGGCGATGACTGTATCTCTCTTGGCCCTGGAAGCACAGATGTCCTCATCGATCGCGTTTATTGTGGACCAGGCCATGGAATAAGGTACTGCTAATTTCATACTATTTTTATATAAATAAATATATTTCAAAGGTGTTATTGACTGAGGATTGTTGATTCGAACTCAAATTCTATTTTTGGATTACAATCTAGGATGTCATTCATTTCAGACTAGAATTTAGATTTAAATTTGAAGTGTTATTATTTTAGAACTAGGATTCAGATTTGAATTTAACGTGCTATTGGTTTAGGACTAGAATTTTGATTGGAATTTAACTAACTTCTTATTGGTTTAGTGATAGGATTCAGATTTGAATTTAAGGTGTTATCATTTGTCTAGGATAGTTATTAGGACTGAGCTTTCAGAATCCACTCTCCATTCCAACTCTGTAGTTTTTAATGAGAAATTTTTAAGAGAAACTCCAAGTTAAAATTAGTGGATTGTGAATTGTTAAATGTATTACAAGATATATTCAGTTTTGTGGATGCTATCCGTCAATGAAAATGTAGGGTCATTTTTCAATTTGTGTTAATAATTATTATTTAAGACAATAACTTAATTTGAAACTCCTAATGCAAATAATCCATGAATCTAAAATTTAGTCTAATAATCTGACCCTCATTCTATAAATCCAAAGCAAAAGTTCAAGAATTCTACTCAATAAATCGAATTCCAATTGAAGAGTCCACAGCTCTAAACATAAAAATCTAAGTCTAGGTCCCAATTCAAGAATATCATATTCATGAACAATTGTCTGAGTCTAAATTAACAATCCGGAGCGAATAACACCTAAAGAATTTCTTCACAGAGGTCACCTTTAAAATAGGGCAACAATGCAAAAAATCACTTTAAAGTTTATAAATGCAGAAAGCACTTTTTGAACGGGGTTCAGTTAGCAATAAACCACCTTGATTTTATTTTGGGCAAAATTTCAGTGAAATCCTCAAAATACCATTAAAAATACACGTGCCACGTACATGACATCTCTTCTTAATAGAACCTAAACAAAAGTTTAGTGTTGACACATGTGCTTTTTAATGTCATCATGAGGATTTAAATCGGTGTTTGAATGAGAATAGGTCAAGGTGGTTTATTGCTATGGGAACCGCTTAAAGATGGTTTCCATATTCTCATTCAATTTTAAAAGCGCTTTATGTGAACAAACCTACTTATTTCAAAACTATAGATACATGGTTGATAGTAATAATTAACTCGGGAGAAAAGGATTGTTTTTTTTTTCATTAAAATTTTTGAAGATAAAAGGTGGGAACTGATCAAGAATTTGAGTCCTCAGCCGCCTTTCATTACCCCCAGTGGCGTAGCCACATGGTACTTGCCCTGGGCAGCTGCCCAGGGCAAGAAAAATTGTGTTCTTGGGGGAGGGGGATATTACAAAAAGCTAAGCTAAAAAAAAGAGAAAAAAATAGTAAAGGACGTGCTAGTGAACTATAGAAAGCGAGATTGCAATCCTTTCTACTTCTATTTTGTCATTACATAAGTTAGACAAGTCACGTTTTGGATTTTTTGTTTCATAAACTAGTAGTTTTATTCATCATATGCTATTTATTCATATGCATCAAGTGAGTGAGCATTGCCACACGCATCACTAGAATATGTCACATGTTACTTACAATATTTCAATTTTTAACTTCACTAATTGTGAGATTTCCATACCCTTTAAATAATTATATTCTAGATATAGTTTCATGCTCCACCTAGGACAACAAAGTGAAATCGGGGAGCCCCGTCGTCGACTTCTGGAGGCCCGTCGTCGACTCCGATGAGAGGAGCCCCTCGACGGCCACGGCCGAGCTCAAGGAGCTTCTCCTTGCTTCCCCGCTCAAAGCTAGATTTTGTGCCGACTTCGACGACGGAGGAGCAGGAGGATGAGACATCTCCTTCGCCGATGTTTGCGCCTTGGGATTCATCGTCAGCCAAGCTTATTTTTTCGCCCAGGGCAAAAAAATATCCTGGCTACGCCACTGATTACCCCAAAAAAGTAGATTGGATACAAAGTTAGGGGATAGGTTGCACTCCCAACCCTACAGTGTAACATATCATTAGACAAAGTACAAAAGTAAGCATTAGACGGCTACAACTCCTCCCAACACCCGCAAATCCATACTACTACCATACCCCCAGATACGTATATATCAGCAACTCAAAACAACTACTTTTCCCCCAAAAAAAATAATAATAACAACCTAAAAGCAAAGAAATACCAAAGAACATGAATTAAGCCCTCCTCCGGCTCAACTGATGCGGTAGTGTGAAGCGCTGCTCCCATTTTATTAATAGCAGCGTCTCCTGCTCCCTTCTGATTAGCATCGGCGTCACGCCTGCGGTCCGCCTACATGGCCAATTGCACCCCGGCCGGCCTAATTAGTTACCTATATCCAGAAAATGATTTTCTTCCGTAATTCCAAATAATGCGAGTGTTTAATTTGATAATGTGAGTGTTAATTTGTGTGTAAAAGCTCTATCATATATATCTCTCTCTACCGCACGGTCCAAATTAGAGCACAAAATAGTGGAAGCTTCGTGATTAATTAGGTTTGTGAAATTTACCAGGTAGAAATTTATTAACTTTTCAATTTGCTTGATTAAATATTTCAGCATTGGGAGCTTAGCAGAAAGATCACATGAGAACGCAGGAGTGCGCAATGTAACAGTAAAGAGGGTCGTGATCGCTGGTACAGACAACGGGTTTCGGATCAAAACTTTTGCGCGTGACAGCGAAGCTTTTGTGGATCAAGTATCATTTCGGCACGCCGTCATGAGAAATGTCTCAAACCCCATCATCATTGATCAGAAATATTGCTCCAGCAAAGAAAATTGTCCCCAGGGTGTAAGTGAACAAACCAACTACATATATAGTTAACGTTAATATTACAAAATTTTCTCTTCACCATTGAGTTCATCGCTATCTTATCATTAGTTAAAATCTTATATTGTTTCTCTTAGTAGATGTACTTCATAGCTAGCCTACAATATTGCACTTGAATGGACCCTCTAAATGCTTTCTTTCTCATTTTATTCTCAATAAGATCAATTTATAATATAATTTTCTACGAACACGTTCATTACTTATACATATTTCGATCTAGCTTGTTGTCGTCTCATATAATTTTTTTTCTTTGATTTCATTAACATGTTGTAATCACATAGCACTTTTGAAATGAATCGATCACTCATTCTAACCCTCCTGGCCTGACTTGATTAAATAATTGATTAAACTTGCATTGTCTTTATGCATGCAGGACTCTGGGGTAAAGATCACTAATGTCAAATTCGAGAATATCCGAGGCACATCAGCAACACCAGTCGCTATAAAAGTAGACTGCAGTGCAACAAACCCGTGCACGGGCATCAAATTGAAGGATGTAGACCTCAAGTACAGGGATCAAATTGCAAAATCATTTTGTAGAAATGCCAAAGGATCGCTATCTGGTTTTGTTTCCCCTCCTATTGATTGTTTCTGATCCATTAATTATAGATATAGATTTTGATGGTGGTAATAAATTATAAGGGATGTACACAGTGTGAAATAATACTGAGACATATACAGTGATGTACGTGTGCTCAGGTCTGGAATAAATGTCTCGGCCGGGTTGTAAATGTATATGTTCTTGGTTTCGCAAATAAATTAATGAATTAATGCTCTTAATTTTAAGGAGTCTATGGCTATTATTCATATATTATGTACATTTTTCGTACCATAGTTTGACAAATCTCCATCGTCCAACAAATCTTGATCCCTCTATACTTGCTGAATCAACCTCATCTGCCTCTGTCCAACAAATCGTTCTTATATAGTTAACGTTAATATTTCAAAATTTTCTCTTCACCATTGAGTTCATCGCTATCTTATCATTAGTTAAAATCTTATATTGTTTCTCTTAGTAGATGTACTTCATAGCTAGCCTACAATATTGCACTTGAATGGACCCTCTAAATGCTTTCTTTCTCATTTTATTCTCAATAAGATCAATTTATAATATAATTGGGTCGTTAATTCTATGAGTAATTTGTTAGGTTGAGGGTGGATACCAACCTCCGACGACGATGAGGAGCTCCGGCGAAGCTCCGACGAGCTCCAGGAAGACGCAGGCGAGCGTGGCGAAGTCGGCGGCGAACCCCCAGGCGAGCTCGAGCTTGGCGAACTCGATGGTGGTTTGGGGCGAACGCGACCCTCAGGTCCGACCCCCGCGTTCAGAGCTCTCCGACCTTCGCGTCAGGCGACGACGACCATCGCGTCACTGGCCTCCCACCTCCGCGTCTGAAGTTCCCACCTCCGCGTCCGAGCGAGGCGCTGGCGACAGGCTGTCGCCAGCCTGTCCAATTTCCGGCTATAAATAGAAGCCCCCTGATGCCCTAGTCTCTGTGCTTCTTCCCCCCTGTTTTCTTGGCGGCGGAGCCCTAAACGCAGCAGCGTTTCTTCTCTCAAAATCGCAGCAGCGATTTTCTAATTAACCCCAGCTTTTCAACAGTGATTGAAGGGGGGATTTAAGGAGAGGAAGAGAGAGAAAAGAGAAGAGGGTTTATTTTATTGTGGGGATTAACACTGTAGCTACAGTGTTTGTTTGAGGAATCCCAGTTTAGGGATTTGCTCTTGACCTGTAATTTCTTGTTAGATTAAATAAGAAATTATCTGTGTGGCTCCCGAGGACGTAGGCAGTTGCCGAACCTCGTAAATCTTGGTGTACTGTTCTCTATACCGCGTTTCCGTTGCATTAGGGGATTTAGGCGTTAAAATCCAACAACTGGATGCAGAGCGTGAAACGATCTAGAGGAAGGTCAGATTTAAGTGGGAGCCATGGCCGCAGGAAGGGAAGTGAGGAAAGGTGAGAATAGAAGTTTGATGGATCAGATTTCGGATTCTGGAAAATGCAGATAGAGGATTATCTGTATCAGAAAAATCTGTATCAACCACTTATCGGGGAAGAAGCCAGATTCTATGAAGGAAGAAGGTGGAACCTTCTAGATAGACAAGCCCGTCGGAGTTACAGTTATCAGTGACGTTGACTCGCAATGTTGCGTTCAACATAGCGCGAAGGAGAAGACCACGGCAGGTCTTATGGCAGCACTCTCAACATGTATGAGAAGCCATCAGCCGCGAACAAAGTTCATTTGATGCGGTGGTTATTCAATCTGAAAATGGCGGAAGGCGCGTCAGTAGCACAACACCTCAATGAACTTAATACGGTTACAACCCAATTGAGTTCAGTTGAGATTGAGTTTGATGAAGAAGTTCGGGCGTTGATATTGTTGTCTTCCCTACCAGAGAGTTGGAACGCTACAGTCACAGCTGTGAGTAGCTCGTCGGGAAAGAAAAAGTTGAAGTTCGGCGACGTTCGTGATTTGGTTCTCAGTGAGGAGATCCGACGGCGAGAGACTGGTGAAGCTACAACCTCTTCAGTATTGCATACAGAGTCAAGAGGTAGAAATTCAACCAGAGGAAACGGACGAGGAAAATCAAACTACAGAGGTAGATCAAAGGACAGGAGGTCCAAATCAAGGAATCCAAGCAACAGCTCGAAGGCTATCGAGTGTTGGAATTGTGGAAAGACCGGGCATTACAAGAATCAGTGCAAGAGTGCACAGAAGGAGAAGGAGGCGAAGGCAGAGGTGAATGTCACCTCCACTTCAGGAGGAGACGACGCATTGATATGCTCTTTGGAGAGCAAGGAGGAATCTTGGGTGTTAGATTCAGGAGCGTCGTTCCACGCTACTTCTCAGAAAGAATTCTTCGAGAAGTATACCCCCGGAAAACTTGGATACGTATATCTTGGTGATGATCAACCGTGTGCTATTGTGGGCAAAGGCGTGGTGAAAATTAAGTTGAACGGGTCAGTATGGGAGCTGAAGGATGTCAGGCATATTCCCGACCTGAGAAAGAATTTAATATCCGTAGGCCAGTTGGCTGGCGAAGGTTATACCACGACCTTCCATGGAGATGATTGGAAGATCTCAAAGGGCGCAATGACGATTGCCCGAGGCAAGAAGACTGGTACCCTGTATATGACAGCAGGTGCACGTTGTTTGATCTCAGTTGCAGCAGGCAATGAGACTTCAAAGCTGTGGCACCAGAGACTCGGTCATATGAGTGAAAAGGGGATGAAGATTATGCACACAAAGGGAAAACTCCCAGGACTGCAGTCAGTGGAGATGGATATGTGTGAAGAATGTATACTTGGAAAGCAGAAGAGAGTCAGCTTTCAGACAAGTGGCAGAACCCCCAGGAAGCAGAAGCTAGAGCTCGTTCACTCAGATGTGTGGGGACCAACAACCACCGCGTCCATTGGTGGAAAACACTACTTCGTGACTTTTATCGATGATCACTCTCGGAAAGTGTGGGTCTACTTTCTGAAGCATAAGTCAGAAGTATTTGAGGCTTTCAGGAGATGGAAAGCTATGGTCGAGAATGAGACCGGTCTGAGAATAAAGAAGCTCAGGACCGACAATGGCGGTGAGTATGAAGACACCGGATTCAAGAAGTTCTGCTATGAGCACGGGATCAGAATGGAGAGAACCGTGCCCGGCACGCCTCAGCAAAATGGTGTAGCTGAGCGGATGAACCGAACGTTGACAGAGAGAGCCAGAAGCATTCGAGTACAATCAGGCCTACCGAAGCAGTTCTGGGCAGAAGCGGTCAACACAGCAGCTTACTTGATCAACCGAGGTCCATCGGTTCCATTGGAGCACAGAATACCAGAGGAGGTATGGTGCGGAAAGGAGGTAAAACTCTCACATCTTAAAGTTTTCGGTTGTGTAGCTTACGTGCATATTAGTGATCAAGGCAGGAATAAGCTTGATCCCAAGTCAAAGAAATGCACTTTCATCGGCTATGGTGAAGATGAGTTCGGCTACCGCATTTGGGACAACGAAAACAAGAAGGTGATCCGGAGCAGAGATGTGATATTCAACGAGAAGGTGATGTACAAGGACATGCACAAGACTGACGACTCAGAGAGCGAGTCCACATTTATAGATGCAGATGATGTCCCGAGTAACCTCTCGGAAGAACCCAATGCAGAGGGTCCTCAGCAAGAAGAGCCTGTTGGACAAGATGGTGCGCAGGAGCCCGACGCACCAGCTCCGATATTAAGAAGATCTTCTCGTCCTCCTGTACCCAACAGGAGATACATGAACTATCTGTTGTTGACAGATGGTGGGGAGCCTGAAAGCTTTGATGAAGCTTGTCAGTGTGGAGATGCGAGCAAGTGGGAGCTTGCAATGAAAGATGAGATGAAGTCTCTCATATCAAACCAGACGTGGGAACTAGCTGAGTTGCCCACGGGTAAGAAGGCACTCCACAACAAATGGGTGTACCGGGTGAAAGAGGAGCAGGATGGTTCCAGGAGATATAAAGCCCGATTGGTTGTCAAAGGTTTCCAGCAGAAGGAAGGAATTGACTACACCGATATTTTCGCTCCCGTGGTGAAGCTAAATACTATCAGGACCGTGATGAGTATTGTAGCAATTGAAGATCTTCATCTCGAGCAGTTAGACGTGAAGACGGCGTTTCTTCACGGAGATCTAGAAGAGGAGATATACATGCACCAGCCAGAAGGTTTCTCAGAAGAAAAGAAGAAGAACCTGGTGTGCAGACTCAAGAAGAGCTTGTATGGCCTGAAACAAGCCCCAAGGCAGTGGTACAGAAAGTTTGACGGCTTTATGCACAAGGAAGGTTTCCAGAAGTGCAACGCCGACCACTGTTGCTACTTCAAAAGATATCAGTCCAGCTATATCATCCTACTGCTGTATGTTGATGATATGTTGGTTGCAGGAGCAGATATGAAAGATATCAAGAGTTTGAAGCAGCAGCTGTCAAAGGAGTTTGACATGAAGGACTTGGGTCCAGCGAAGAAGATCCTTGGAATGCAAATCACGAGAGATAAGAAGAGAGGTCTCTTGCAGTTATCTCAGACGGAGTACATCAACCGTGTTTTGCAGAGGTTCAACATGGGCGACGCCAAGCCTGTGAGCACACCCTTGGCCAGCCATTTTCGTTTATCGAAGGATCAGTCTCCTCAGTCAGAAGAAGAGAAAGAGAGTATGGCTCAGGTTCCTTACGCCTCAGCTATCGGAAGTTTGATGTACGCAATGGTCTGTACGAGACCAGACATTGGCCATGCAGTGGGAGTGGTCAGCCGGTTTATGTCGAATCCAGGAAAAGCTCATTGGGAAGCGGTCAAGTGGATTCTGAGATATCTACGAGGCACCACACAGAAGTGTTTGCACTTTGGTAAGGGAGAGGTAGAAGTGCAAGGGTACGTAGATGCAGACTTCGGCGGCGAAGTTGATCACCGAAGAAGTACCACCGGCTATGTATTCACCGTTGGAACTACAGCTGTTAGTTGGATGTCACAGGTACAGAAGATTGTTACCCTATCCACTACAGAAGCTGAGTACGTTGCAGTGACTGAAGCCAGTAAAGAGATGATATGGCTTCAGGGTTTGTTGACAGAGCTGGGATTCAAACAGGAGAAGAATGTTTTGCACAGTGATAGTCAGAGTGTGATACACTTGGCGAAGAATTCAGCATTTCATTCTAGAACGAAGCATATTGCGCTTCGGTACCACTTCATCAGATCCCTGTTGGAAGATGACGTGTTGAAACTGGAAAAGATTCCAGGAAGTAAGAATCCAGCAGACATGTTAACAAAGACGGTGACCGTTCAGAAACTGGGATGAGGAGCTCCGGCGAAGCTCCGACGAGCTCCAGGAAGACGCAGGCGAGCGTGGCGAAGTCGGCGGCGAACCCCCAGGCGAGCTCGAGCTTGGCGAACTCGATGGTGGTTTGGGGCGAACGCGACCCTCAGGTCCGACCCCCGCGTTCAGAGCTCTCCGACCTTCGCGTCAGGCGACGACGACCATCGCGTCACTGGCCTCCCACCTCCGCGTCTGAAGTTCCCACCTCCGCGTCCGAGCGAGGGGGCGAACGCGACCCTCGGACGAACGCGACCCTCGGCGAACGCGACCCTCGCGTTGAGCGCCCCGACCATCGCGTCGAGGGGTCCGACCCCCGCGTTCTTGGCGACGCTCGCGTCCCACTTGTGCGCTGGTGACAGGCTGTCGCCAGCCCCCATCGGATCCGCCTATAAAAGCCCCTTTGTGATGCCCTAGCCGAGTGCTTTTTCCCCCCTTTTTTCTTGGCGGCGGAGCCCTAAACGCAGCAGCGTTTCTTCTCTCAAAATCGCAGCAGCGATTTTCTAATTAACCCCAGCTTTTCAACAGTGATTGAAGGGGGGATTTAAGGAGAGGAAGAGAGAGAAAAGAGAAGAGGGTTTATTTTATTGTGGGGATTAACACTGTAGCTACAATGTTTGTTTGAGGAATCCCAGTTTAGGGATTTGCTCTTGACCTGTAATTTCTTATTAGATTAAATAAGAAATTATCTGTGTGGCTCCCGAGGACGTAGGCAGTTGCCGAACCTCGTAAATCTTGGTGTACTGTTCTCTATACCGCGTTTCCGTTGCATTAGGGGATTTAGGCGTTAAAATTCCCAACATAATTTAAGTCCCATTGGCCCCTTTGATGCTTGTTTAGACTTAAGAAACGTGAATTCATATTATATAGGATTTAATTTTTACCTTAATCTTTCGAATGAAGAATGAAAAATTACATGTAACATCATCTCTCAACTCACGTTCTTTGTTCCTGCAGGCTTCTCGAGTCAAACAAATATTTTCACAAGAAATAAGAGAGTGATTCCTCATAAACTTTCAGTTGTAGAAAGCTGCCTCTCGTCTTTTACTTTCTATTTATTTTCCGGTACGTAGTTGAACGTAGCCTAGAACAGTCAAGCCAAAACAATATCCAACTCTTGTTGATCAACCTGCAGTGCTTATTTTAGCTTTAATTGGACCAATTTTATACTCCTTTTTATTTCCCCCAACCTCACTTCATCTTTTTATTTACTTGACCACATATCGACAATTGATTAATTACCATAATTATAGAACAATTAATAAGGAATATTCTAGCTAATACACGTAAACTAATTTGATATGAAACTTAAGCTAGCTAGTAGTACAAATCATAAGGACAGGTTATAACTCGATCAGCAAGAAGAGTAGTATAAGATTTGGTAGAAATGGCTTGATTAGGCCTAATTAGAGAAGTGGGAGACTAATGGTTAATTTGACTCTCTAACCAATTAATTAGGCTCCTCCTTTGTTTCCAAAAGTGAGGACTCAGAATGAAGTCAATCCCAACAGAACGTAATCCATGTTGTATCCGGTTCCACTATTATAAAGTGCCAGATAGCTAGGATTCATAGTGGAACGGTCAAAATAAACTTACTTACAATGGAGAATTAACTCTGAGAAATTGATGTGTAATGTCTGAGAATATATAGTAGGAATATAAGTGATGATATATATATATTGTATATATATGTATATATAGATATAATTGTAATAAATAAGAAGTATAGTAGAGAGAGAGAGAGAAATGGGTATGCTTGTATCAAGCACAAAAAAGTTGTGCTTGGTTTAGTGAGGTGACATAATCCCATCCACTCATTTAAATAATTTGCATATCCCATGCACTCCTCAACCCATGTGAATGTATCCCCCATTTGAATGAGTGGAGGGGATTGCTGCCAGCTCTCACTACCAAAACACAAAATTGTGCTTGGTACCAAACATACCCATTATTTTCATATAATATATATAATATATATATATAATTATAATATAATAGTATATATAAAAGCGAATATGTTAAAAATAGCCATTATAGAAGGTCGGATCTACCCAACCCACTAGCCGTTAATGGAGCTCCATTTAGATCCCCAAGTCAAACTCATTCTCCTTTAACTAAATAGATACGAAATGTCAAAAAGTAATGATGACGTTATACCATCTCCACTCGTCTCTGCATAACTAATGGTGCTAATTAACGTAAGAAAAAATGACCACATTTTCTCCATTTTCCTAGTCCAAGTTAGTCAGCCCGTGGATAACTAAAATGTCTCCACATTAGGTGTAAAACCAAAGAGTGGTCCTCCGTTTCCTCCATTAGTTTCTCCATAACTAATGAGCATCAATGCTTGTAATTTATTCTAATCCTCTTTATCGTCATTACGGCCGAGCCTTTATAATTAGAACAATTTGTTAGTATATATGGCCAGTTGCTTAATTTGTAATGGAAATTAAACATGATAATATACACGCTTCACTGATTTTTATGTTTTTTTGTCAAAAGACGAGTACAATTCAAAATAAAAATTCATTAACCAACATTTATAGACAAATATGAGGTGCTCAGAAATATTATAGATAAATATAAGGTATAACACTGTTTAAGTTCTAATCATTATGAGTGTTTTCTTTGATTAGTTAACCCACTCTGAACTAAGGTATAACAACCCCTGTTAGAAAGAAAAAATCTAATACATAGGATAAGGGTAACAATCTTCAAGAAAAATGTAAATTATTCATTAACCACCAAATCTGACGTCTTTGCTAGGCATTTTGTCAAAACATAATTTATTTTAAGGTTTATAGATATTAAAGGTCATGCGCGAGTCATACGAGCACCGAGCGATATAAAGCTGTTCTCCAACAAAACATGCTAATCTGCGCGATGAAATGTCGTTTTCACATTATGAAATGATCTTAAATTTTTTTTTTCCCAACAAAACATAATTTATTTCATATTTATTTTGTTTGTGCTTTAAAGCGCATATCAAGTATTTGGATTTGGATAGCACTGCTCACGTTGAAGGTCTTTTCTGCACCACCATAAACTCTAAATTAAGGCATGGAGAATTTATGTATCCTTAACCAAAAGATATCTTTCAATGTGGACCAAAACTAGGCACCAGGGCCACAATAATCCTCAGTAATTGGCGTGATGAAGTATTACCTAACTCAAAATTCAAACCAAATACTCCATGTGTTAGGTTGTTTCTTGCCAATTTTTCCACCAATTAATTTGCTATAAATACCCCCTCTCCCAAACTACCATAACTACCAACACTAAAAAAGCTCTCTAGTCACCAAAAAAAGAGCCTAAAATGGCCAAACTCGCTAGCTTCCTCTTCCTTCAACTCCTCTTCATCACCTCCTTCCTCACGACAACAAATGCACTCTACAATGTAGTGGACTTTGGAGCCCGGCCTAACAGCCAAACCGATTCGGCCCGATCATTCCTTCAGGCTTGGGCCGCAGCCTGTAGCTCATCAAAGCCCGCAAGTATTCACGTCCCGAACGGGAGGTTCTACATAAGCCAGGCCAAATTTAACGGCCCGTGTCGGAATAATGCTATAAAGTTCATTATTGATGGGGTCATCGTTGCTCCTTCGATGTATTACAGGCGAGGAGATCAAAGCACATGGATTGAGTTCAATGACGTTGATGGTGTTTCTATTGATGGAGGAATTCTTGATGGAAGAGGTGGGCCCTTGTGGGCTTGCAAGCTATCGGGCCGACACTGTCCGAGTGGTGCAACGGTAAGTGGAATTTTACGTTGGACTGGGAATTGTTCGGCCCAGTGCAACTATAGAAATTATAACTATAGAAACTATAAATATTGTTTTTAAAAAAAAAAATATTTGAAACAAACAGCTAGCCGTAACTATAACTGCTACCTCTGCGTGCATGATTGCAGACCCTCACCTTCGGCGACTCGAAGAACATCGAGGTCGTCGGCATGACGTCATCAAACAGCGAGCTGTATCATATTGTGATAGAGCGGTGCCAAAATGTGAAGGTGGTCGGAGTCAACATCGTGGCGTCGGGCACGAGCCCTAATACTGATGGCATTCATGTTCAGATGTCGAGTGACGTCAGCATTCTGCAGACGAATATTAAGACCGGCGATGATTGCGTTTCTGTGGGACCGGGTACTAGTGGGCTTTGGATCCAGCGTGTCTTTTGTGGGCCTGGGCATGGCATCAGGTTTGTGTGAAAAGCCTTGCATAGTCCCTTGTTTCTTAACAAAACAACATTTTTTTGCTCCTATTTGTAAGGAAATTTACTAGTATGAAACTAACGTCAATAACTAACAATGAGTACAAAAAAATTTTCTTAACAACAATAAGATGTATATTGATATTTTTTTTTACCTTTTCCTCTTTCGCAGCATTGGTAGTTTAGGAAAGGGAGGAGACCAAGAAGAGGGGGTGCAAAACGTGACGGTAAAATCTACTGTGTTCTCAGGAACACAGAACGGACTCAGGATCAAAACATGGGGAACCAACACGAAAGGGTTCGTAAGCGGAGTTACGTTCATCGACGCGGTTATGCGAAATGTGCAGAATCCAATCATCATCGACCAAAATTACTGCCCTCACAGCCACGATTGCCCCGATCAGGTACTAAACTTACTGAAATTTATTAATAAATCAAAATTTTTTTTAGTTAATATTGATCATTAACTAGATGTTTTCTCTTTTTGCAGAGTTCTCATGTTAGGGTAAGTAATGTGAAATATGAGGGCATTAGAGGAACATCTGCTACTGAAAAGGCAGTAAATTTTGACTGTAGTGAGAGTAATCCTTGCAGTGGAATTAGTTTGAAGGACATAAAGCTCACGTATGAGAATCAAGCTGCTCAATCTTTTTGCAAACATGCAGATGGAGTTGCTTCTGGCTCAATAATCCCACCAAGTTGTTTATGATTCTAAGTCTTTGTGATATGTAGTAGAGAATTAATGAAGGGATCGATGTAGTACGTCGATTAGATGGCCGGCTTGCTTAGGCTTGTGCTTGTGCTAAAATGAATGGAACATGAATAAATATACATGTCCCCTTTCATGAAACCTTGGCCTTGTTGGATGGTACATAACTTGCATAAAACTGCCTATTGAATTTGAATATGGTAACGTTGGATATTGCACTTGGATTTGGATCGTCTGCATTATAAAAATTAATCACTGTTTTTAATCAAAACTATTGTTAATCAAAAGTTTTAGATCGTACCAATTGACATGTGTATTGTGCTTATTCTTATTTCCACTCAAATCAAATAACAATCATCAACCAAATAAATAGATGTCTATATATAAAAGTAGTCATCTCTCTACTTATTTTCTATAGTAGAGAGAAGGGTTAATTTCACAGAACCCCGTTGAACTTAGGGGGGTGTTGCACATAACCCCCTTGAATTTTTATTTTCTCACTTAACCCCCCTAAACTATGGGGTGTCTCACAAATCCCCTAACTTTTGCTTATCTCACGTACCCCCTAGCCTATAATTTTTGAGAGAAAAACAAGGGTTGATCCATGTTCATTAAAATCAAAAGTATGTTTACAAAAGAAGGATACGGACTGTATCCATAAAGATTAGTGGATAGAAAAAATAATTTCTCTTGCGAGGGATGTAGGACCTTCTTCTTACAAACATCCATGAAGATGAAGAGTGGGCCTTGCCGTCATTCACCGTTGGCATGGATATAAGTGAGAACCAAAGCCAGCCATACATTTGGACAGGAGAAATTAAATTTTCTATAGACTAATTTAAACTAACACTTGAACATCATAATGTTGATATGTACAAAAGACATTATAAAAGGCTAAGAGAAAACTGATATGACAAACTAAATACTGTTGCTCCGCAAGATTGGTCTTTCTTCTAAAACCGCTGCTAGCTTGAGTGCCTTCTTCCCTCTTCCAGAATCTGACCAGTCATGTAAATTAAAAATTGCTGAGTTGATGATAGAAGTAGCAGAAAAAAAAGAATTTTCAAAAATAGATTTATTTCTTGATGTCCATAAGCTCCATCACACTGCAGAGAAAATTGATCGCCATAAAACCCCATCAGAGTGACGAAGAGATTCAACAACCTTGAGGAGTTCATATAAAGATGTTGGCCATATGAAAGGGAGGTAAGAATCACAGAAATGTTTCCATACTGATTTGGTAAGACTGCATTCAAAAAACAAATGATCACAAGATTCAAAATGTATACCACATAGAATGCATGTAGAATCCCCTTGCCATCCTTTCTTTATAAGATTTTCGTTTGTATGCAACCTGTTTTTGGATAAAAGCCATATGAAGAACTGGAATTTACTTGGCATGACAGGATTCCAAACAGTTTTATAATAAGCAGATAATATTCCTCTGGTGTTAAGGAAAGAATAATGGGATTTAACTGAGAAACTCCCATTGGATGTAAGGGACCAGGTGGGTATGTCAACATTGTTAGTAACAATGTGTAAGCCAATATGATTCTTAAGATCAATCTTTGCATATGTTGAAGAATCAGAGATGCTTCTCTTAAGAAGAGGATGCCAGCGCCATATATGATTATGGAAAAAACCCTGAGAACGAATACTGACATTTGTAGACAGTGATAATTTATACAAAGTCGGATATAGACTTGATAATGTGTTACTACCAGTCCATTTATCCTCCCAAAATCTAATTTTATCACCAGATCCAAGAGACCATTGCAGAAGATGAAGAAATAAATCTTTGATTGATATGATATCATTCCAAAACATAGAATATGAAGAACTGCAGGAAGTTGATTGCAACTGAGAATCTTTCCTGATATAAAGATGATGTAAGAAAGTTCCAATTAAGGAGTCTCTATCAAGACATTTCCATAACCATTTGGATAAGAGAGCATTATTAAAAAGTTTGAGGTCCTTCACACCCAATCCTCCCTCATATTTACTTAGACATACTGTCTTCCAATTTACTAAACACTTGAAAGGTTTAGAGATATTTTTGCCAGTCCATAAAAAATTCTTTCTAATTTTATCCACCTCTTTAATCACCCATGATGGTAATTTGTAGAAAAACATATAATATAATGGAATAGATGAAAGAACAGAGTTGAGCAAAACAAGTCTACCACCAAAGGATAAACATGAACTTTTCCAAGAAGCAAGTTTCCTATACATATTATCCAACATAGGTTGCCAATCAGATTTAGCTAATTTACCATACTTTAGAGGCAAACCTAAATATTTAATAGGAAGATAATCAAGCTTGCAATTCATTGAACTAGCTAGAACTTGTCCTCTATTATGTAATTTACCGAAGTAAATAAGAGAAGATTTGGAGAAATTAATACCCAACCCTGAAATATCTTCAAAAATATATAAGATTGCCTTTAGAATGGATATGTCATTCTTGGTACTTCTGACAAAAAGAAGAGTATCGTCTGCAAATTGGAGGCTCCTAATTTGATTGAGAGGTTCCTTAATGCCAAGATTGGATAATAAACCCTCTTCCACATTATGTCTGGTCATCTTGCACAAGACATCAACAACTCTTCCACATTATGTCTGATCATCTTGCACAAGACATCAACAACAATATTAAAAAGCAAAGGAGATAAAGGGTCTCCTTGTTTCAAGCCTCTTTTGCATTTGAAAGATTTAGAAGGGGATCCATTGACAAGAACAGCACAGCTTAATGTAGATATAATATTGTAGATCCATGAGCACCATCTTTGACCAAAACCTCGAACTTTCAGTAAATTAATAAGGAAGTTCTAGTTAATAGAATCAAAAGCTTTTGTAAAATCAATCTTAACCATGGCCACATCCTTCTTCCTCTTTGAACAAAAATGAATCAATTCATTTGCAACAGTTATAGAGTCAAGAGTTGATTTGCCAGATTGGAAAGCTGTCTAGATCTAAGAGATTCTGATTTTTGGAAGGATACAAGAAATTCCAGTTGACTGTCATGTTGCTATTGCTTTCTTGTCCAAAAAGAGTACGATAAAAGTCATAAAAAACTTTTGAGATTTCCCCTTTGTCATCAATTTCAGAACCCATGTGATTAATAGCAACAATGTGATTTGATCTCTTATGAATGGATGCTGTTCTATGGAAAAAGGATGTATTAGCATCACCTTCTTTCAACCATTGAATACGAGATCTTTGATGCCAATAAGATTCTTCTTCTTGGATGATAGAAGCAAAAGAAGATTGATAACCTTTCCTCTCATCTAATTCTGCAGGGGATAGAGATCTTTGTTCTTCAATAAGGTCTAAAGAATGGATTTTAGATAACAAAGTATTTTTTCTAGAAGAGATAGATCCATAAACATTCTTTCTCCACCACTTAATTCTTCTTTTTAGAAGCTTAAGTTTAATGATGAACTTATCCACTGGGGTCCCTTGACAAATAAACGATTTTCAGGAAGATTCTATAAAAGGAACAAAAGTGATGTTATGAAACCAACTTTTTTCAAACTTGAACAAAGGAGGATTTGGTTTTATGCCTCTACTATCCAGAATGATAGGAAAGTGATCAGAGCCAACAGAGGGAGGTGAGTATTGCAAACTTAAAGGATGATTTTTATCCCAATCTGTACAAATCAGAAATCTGTCTAACCTGGCTAACGCAGGATCCTGTCGATTATTGGACCAAGTGAAGGAACGACCAGATAGAGGCAGATCAATAAGATAATTAGAAGAAACAAAAGATTTGAAGGAATTGATATCCTTAATGGAGCCTTTTCTGCCATTCCTTTCTTCAGATGATAATGTAGCATTAAAATCCCCACAAATAACCCAAGGACCCTCAAAAATCTGTCGTAATCTGGAAAGTTCCCACCAACAAACATCTTTATCCTCTCTGTCAATAGGAGCATAAACAGAGGTAAATGTAAAAGTCCAATTTGATGGAATATGGGTCAAAAGAACAGAGGCAGAGAAGATACCAACATACGATCTAATCATTGTGAAAGAAGTAGACCAACCAATAATCACACCTCCCCTGGATTCAGAGGAATCTAAGATACACCAGTTTGAAATTTTATTCCCACCTATAGAGCGAAGCCCCTGGATTCAGAGGAATCTAAGATACACCAGTTTGAAATTTTATTCCCACCTATAGAGCGAAGTTTTGTGGCAGATGGCTTACAGAGTTTACTCTCTTGAAGACCAATGACATCAATAGCAGAACGAAAGATAAAGTCTTTGACTAGACTTCTTTTATTAGGGTCATTTAGACCACGCACATTCCATGATGCAAACTTCATAAAGTCTTTGACTAGACTTCTTTTATTAGGGTCATTTAGACCACGCACATTCCATGATGCAAACTTCATCGATAAAGGAATTAAACCACGAGGAAAGAACTACTAACACAGATTGTTAGCAACATGATGCTACTTTATCAACTTCTTTAGACTTTAGCTTAGCTATGGAGCTCTCATGAAAATTAACTCCACAATTTGTAGCAATCTCCTCTAGAACATCATTATGCATAGCATTCAAAGGCAACATGACCGAAGAAGAAGAAGAAGAATTAAGTTCCGTACCTTTTCTAGCAATTTTTGAAGCAGATTTAGATGATGAGATGTGCTGCAAGAACTTCTTATGCTTTCGGCTGATAATGGATTTCCTAGATGAACGAGCAGCAGTCGATGAAGAATGTTTACGGGAAAAGCCTGGAGGAATTGATGAAGACATTTGCATAACTGGCGTCTCATGTGATTTTGGCGGGAGAGAAGAGGATGAAGAATTTGAATTACTGACATCATTTGTCCCGCCAAAAATATTATTCCATGTTGCTTTTTCCAAATATACTGTCTGACCATTCCAAGTATGTTTGACTAAATCAACTAGAAAATCACGGAGAGACTTGGCAAGAGAATCAGAACTGCCATTAGAAGAATTAGCCTGAGAATCCGCCTGAAAATTTGTTTCCA